TAATAATTAATTGTAATAATAATTAATATTTTTTTAATGTTTATTTATAATTAATTTTGATAAATAACAATTGATATTAATCAGAGTTATAATTGGAAAAAAAATGTCAAAAAACTTTTAATCTTCAACAGATACTTTAAAATAAAAATCAAAATCTCTAAAGGAAATTTATGTTCATCTCCAACAATTTCTCTATTTTGGATACGATATGAATTATATTATTAAATATTTAATTCATTTCATAAAATTTATTTATCTCTTCTATACATTTACTTTTAAAGATTCTCATCAATAGAAAAAATGTGAGATAAATTTTATCTCGTAATTAATCATTTTTGGAGAGTTATTTAAAATTTTAGAGAATTTCATCATCTCTATTCTACTTTCTCCTTTTGCAGAAGGTTTGGGGAATATGTTATAAAAAAAAAATCTAAATCTTAATTTTGAAGAATCAGTTGTAGATGTTTTAAAACGTTATTCCAGTTAGTATTTGGAAAAAGTCCAAAAAAACCCAATGGACTTTACTATTTGGAATGATTAAGTCCCTGGATAATTTTTTGGAACAAATAAACCATTAGACATTCTAAAACCTGTTAAATAAATCCTTAGACTTTTTAGAATTTGTTAAATAGATCCTTATTTATTTAAAATGTAACACGTGACCTGAAGAATAGGTAAACTCAAATTAAAAAAAAAAAAAAAACCCTAATATCCTAAAAATGATGACTCCCAGCTCACTCATCGTCTCCCTCTCGTCTCCACACCACCGTGACCACTCATCTCCTCCCTCTCGCGACCACCGCTCCCTCCCGTCTCCTTCTCCCTCACACACCGTCGTCTCCCTCTCGTCTCCACACCACCGTGACCACTCATTTCCTCCCTCTCGTGANTCTCCACACCACCGTGACCACTCATTTCCTCCCTCTCGTGACCACCGCTCCCTCCCGTCTCCTTCTCCCTCACACACCGTCGTCTCCCTCTCGTCCCCACACCACCGTGACCACTCATCTCCTCCCTCTCGTGACCACCGCTCCCTCCCGTCTCCTTCTCCCTCACACACCGTCGTCTCCCTCTCCCGCACCACCGCCGCACCACCCCCGATCACCAGGTTGGCTTCCCCTTATGTCTGGAATCACGAGTGTCGCCCTTAGGTATCTTGCCACTACTACTGCATCAGTAACCTGAGGTTTACAATCACCATGGTTAATATTTGATGAAACACAAAAGATAGATAAAAGGTTGCAATACATGATTTTGACATAAGAAACAGAATGAAATGTGTTGGTTTCTTTTGTTTCTATTCCTTCCCCTTTCTTCCTCTCTCTGTGCAGACTTCATTAAGTCAATTTTGTGAAACCAACACAATTTATTTATAAGGAAATCCCACCACTCATTTACCATTCCAGATGAAATTGGAGTGAAACCAGGGTAAGGAACAATGTAATTAAGACAGAAGTAGAAGCAAAGGTAGTAGGTGTAGGTTTGGACTTTTATCAAATACCTGGGAGACATGGTATTCGGGTCCGTTGGTTAATGAGAAAGTGACAAATCCTTTAGATTCTTCTACCTCTTTTATAAGATTTCAAAAAAAGTAACGTTAGAAATAGACATCAATGAAAATGTTTAGATTAGTTTCAGATAGCGTGTAGCACTGACCCAAATCTGGTTTAGACCAGCAAGGCTTGAGAGCAGTATCTTCCTCCTTCCGAGGATCATCGCCAGCCGAATCAAATGCGAGGCTTTTCTCTGAATCCTCAACACTTTGGGTGGATCCAGCATGGTTGACCTATATGAAAAGTAATTAGTAATGTGTATCTGAATTTTGATGGTAAAATAAATGAGGGTTTGAAATGGGCATGACCAATTCCAATTATGGTTGGAGATTCAACGTGAGATAAAGAAAATGAAAGATTGCAGAGTGAAGAAGAAGAAGCATACATGATGAGAAACAGGAGCGTCAAAGTGTTCACGCTTAATCATGTTGTCAAGCATTAGATTGTAACTACTTTTTCGTTCAAAAAATATTTATGGACTTGATCGTTCAAAATATGAAAATTCATTGGTTTTTTCGGATCTTTTCCACTAACAAAATGTATTTAACAGATTTTAGAAAGTCCAAGGACTTATTTAACAGGTTTTGTAAAGTCCAATGACTTATTTAACAGGTTTTAGAATGTCCAAGGATTTATTTGTTCCAAAAAATTGTTCAAGGACTTAATCGTTCCAAAGAGTAAAGTCCATTGGGTTTTTTTGGACTTTTCCCTTAGTATTTTAATAAGCTAACTTAGTCCATCATACTTAAAGAAATAAACTAGCTTATATTTATCAAAGAATGTCTTAACACATGATATTATTAGTGATTTGTCTTAAGTATTTTCTAATACATTATTTTTAGTCATTTTATATTTTTTTAATTATTTTATCAATTAGATTTTGTCAAGGGAAAATCACGAAAATGACCAAAATATATCTAATGTATTAATAAAATAACCATTTTTACAAGTTTTACCAAAATAACCACATGAATCGTCTCGGGGGCGATTTGACCCAAAAAGCACCAAAGTGGGGACCACATGCATCTGATTTGGGAGACAAAATATCTGATTTTTACCTAATCCTCGGATCGCCCCCACCTAACCTGCGGAGCGCCTCCAGGGGCGATCCTACTTACACCATTGACTCTTATTTTGTTTTTTAGTGAAGAAATCGATTTGACAATTAAATGATGTTTTTTAATAAACGAGTGACAATTTTGACTCATATTTTAACTGTTTTAAAAAATCACTTCGTGCAACTTGTTGATAACTTAATGAATAGTTTCTGAAAAGAAGCATAAATAATAAATGGAGAGAAGATACATGGATAGAGTTGGAGGGCAAGGTTGACATTTCAACCGTATTCAACGAGAGGGAGACCATTCATAAATGAACAGGTGTATACAGAATATAAATATAGATATCATCACCATCACACCCTTTGCTATTATCTATTCAATGTTCATCTCATCAGCATCATCATCAATATCATTGTTCTTTGATCTACCTTCCTTTTCCTTTTTCTTTTTCAGCAGCTACGTCTTCTCAATCTCCTCTCTAAGATCGGATCATTTATCTTCCTTTTCACGCCATTTATTCACATCACCCCACTCCTACCCGAAATCAACACCCACCCATTCATAAAACAGATTTTCAACTCAAAATATTCAAACCCTGATTGAAAATCCTCTTCTTCCTTTCATTGAGCTGAAAAATTAGAATCGGGTTTCAATCTTTTGGGGAAATTAATGATCTTTATGAGGTGGGGTTTTGTTGTTAAATGGGAAATGTAACCTCAAATATAGCTGCAAAATTTGCTTTTTTCCCACCAGAACCACCAACATACGATGTTTACAAAGACGAAGAGGATGCACCAAATGGAGAAAAAAGGTATTGTTTTACAGGTATAACAGCAGATAAGAACGTTGATGTTCATTTGCTTGACACAAAGGTTGGGAACAAGGTTGTTGCTACCTTCTGGAAACACCCTTTTGGGAGATTCACCCTTTTGTACTCTCATGGCAACGCTGCTGATTTGGGTCAGATGCAAGACCTCTTTATTGAGCTCAGAGCTCACCTCCGACTCAATATCATGAGGTATTTTTCTTCAATTTTAGTTCCCTTTTATTGCTTATATGTTGGTAGGAAAAGGGTGTTTTTAAGATTTTCTTGATGTTTCTTTTCATATATGTTTCATCTATCTTCTTATCTGTTCCAATCAGTAATCTCAGTGTTTAAGTATGCAGAGTGTAGGCTAATTGAATTCAAACTTGTGGGTTATGTTTTTAGGGTGTCAAAATCTTGATTTGGGGAAGTTGTTTCTTTACATCATCTGGGATCCTGGTGTTTTCTATTATTTAATTTGTTTCCTTATTCCTTTTGCTATATACTAATTGATACTATTAGGGTTTGGTTTATCTCAAATGTATAGGAACATTTTGGTGTTAAAGTAGCTGCTGCTAGGCTTTTGATTGTATTGAATACAAGTGTTTTTTGTTTTATCTCCAGTTTCCTGAGTTAATTAGGTGTGTTCCTGTGTTAGTTCTACCATATTTGCTTCTTTGTTTGAGTTCATAAATAGTGCAAAAATCTGTTCCAATTTGATCTGTTTTCATATTGTGAATCAGAATACCCTTCATTAATTTAGTTTCTTTTGATGATAGCATATGTTTTAAAGTCATTGGTTCATGTGGTATACATTCATGTTTGCAGTTATGATTACTCGGGATATGGAGCTTCCACGGGCAAGGTAAGCAATAAAGCACGGGATAATGACATCGTGTACTTTGTTATCAGATAAAAAGGGTATTTGAAATGAGGTATCAAATGAGTTTCTGAAGATTGTTTGTTGCTTCCATTGTGTTTAGCCGTCTGAATTGAACACGTATTACGACATAGAGGCTGTGTACAACTGTTTGAAGGATAAGTATGGAATCAAACAGGAAGACATCATCTTGTACGGCCAATCCGTTGGCAGCGGGCCCACGTTACACTTGGCTGCTCGACTACAGAGGTTGAGAGGCGTTGTTCTACATAGTGCCATTCTTTCAGGAATACGAGTTCTGTATCCTGTCAAGATGACATTCTGGTTTGATATATTCAAGGTAAGTTTCAAGGAGCAACCTTTAAATTCCCTTCATTTACTCCATTTTCCTCCGTTTCTTCATTTTGTGGATCCCGTCCCATCTCAACACACTTTTCACAAGCTGGCGGTTTTCACTGGAACAACCACTCTGTCATTTAAGGTAGAGGTCAGGTCAAACCCCACCTCCGGACTCTTTAAGGTAGAGGTTAGGTCTAGGTACATCTTCCTCCTCCAAACCCACCTCTGGGTGACTCTCGGTGGTAGAGGTCAGGTCTTTGTGAGATATGCAGGGCTCGTTTGGTTTGGTATATCCCATCCCATCCCAACACCACCACATCTTTATTCCTCATAGGACCATATAAAATCTTTATTCCTCATTAATCAACTTGGTTTTGTACTAATGACACTCACTTTGCTCCTTTCTTTGTATGCAGAATATTGACAAAGTGCAGAAAGTCAACTGTCCGGTTCTTGTTATACATGTAAATTTCTTCGCCTTTTTACCTTATTATTTCTAGCCTCGTTACCTTTCTGCGCTATTGTCGTTATGCTCATTACGGAAGTTGGAGAAAGGTCTCTTAGATCCAACTATGCAAACATGAAAGATTTCTTGTTATGGGATCAATCAAAGTCAATGGCATCAATGTTTTACAATGGTTCACTGTAGGCAACTAGATAACTTTAGATCGAAAATCTGCTAGAGATAAACCTAGAACTAATACTGTTGATTGAAACGGGTGGTGGCAGGGGACAAACGACGATATCGTTGACTTCTCACATGGGAAGAGATTATGGGAACTGGCAAAGGAGAAATACGATCCGCTGTGGGTCCAAGGCGGAGGCCATTGCAATCTTGAAACATACCCAGAGTACATAAGACATCTGAGAAAGTTTATAAGTGCAATGGAGAAGGTCTCCATCGCCAGCTCCAAACGATCTTCAGGACCAAGTATCACAGGATCAGTCAAACACAACAAGTGTTTGAGATTTGGTAAAAGATCATAGATAGCTAGCTTTTTGTGTTGAACAAATCTTCCATGGTTACCTGTTTCATCCATTTTTAGTTGAATTCCACCGAGTTTTTCTTGTTTCTATTTGATTGGGATTCAACTGTAATTAACATTCTTCATTTTTTTTACGTAGATGTTAGAAATCGGAAATTCTTGTCTTGTGCTTTTGGGTTCGTTTGTTGCCCTCCGTTTGTGGCCTGTATGCATGGATTTGGTGGGTTCGTGCTTGTTTAAGTACATATTTAAATGCCTATCCATTTCATTTAGTTTTCTTTTGTAACCGAGAGTATTTAGGCCAGCCTGTGGGCATTTTGACTATAAAAATGTTCTGTTTCTGCGACACTATCGAGTGGTAGCACGAGCACCCTTCTTAAATCCGCCCTTACATGTTGCATATGGCATTAAAGTGCTTTCATTATAATTTTGTTGATTTTGGCCATGCTACCTAAGGTCACACGACCAGGTCACAGGAATAAATCGTGTTTGGGTGACCCTCCCTTGTATGCTACCTAAGGTCGCATATAGAGGTTGCGTAAAGCCTCTTACGAGATAAATCCAGAATGAGAGCTGTTGTCCTGAGGTTTCTGATGCTTGTGCGGAAATGCTAAAAAATGTCCTTATACCCATTTTTTAAGCAAATGAAACGTACTATTTTCTAAAGGGTTTGGGACCTAGTCAAGTAAGGTGGCTCATCCCCATGCCAGAGGAATCAAAACAGTGAAATGAGAAGGGATTAGGAACAAATAGGAATCTGTTCGGCTGTTCACTTGTTTTATGACCGTATTCACGTTGTTTTTCTTTAATTATATTAGCCGCTTAATTGATGCCATAAATAACTTGGGCTTCTTGTTTATAGCCCTTGAACTTACGATGTCCTGTGCGGTCGAACGACCTAAAAATGGCCGCCTATGCTAGGAAGATGTACATGATTCTAAGTTCGTGGAAGTTGAAACCGTTTTTATGATTGTCATTAATTTGTTGCTTTGATTGCTTGATATTATTGTCAATACACATAATATATAGTTTTTGATTTGTTTTGCATTCAATTTTGGGTGGTTTTCACACATCTTATCTAAGGAGCTTGTGTATTGGCTTTTTTTGGTATAAAAATTTCTAACAATAACTAACAATCAAGTTAGCTGTTAATTTTTTAAGTTAATTTTTAGCTGATAAGCTAGTTGTTGAACAAATAGTGGTAGATAAAAACTATTTGAAAAGTTAGATGAAAAATGTAAATGACTAAAAGAGAAATCATAAAAAAAAGTCAATTATAAATTGATTATGACATTGTATGGTAAAAATAAGCTAACTTATTTTCTGGATGTATGTCTGGATAACCATAAGCTAGCTTATTGAAACGCTATTTGGAGTAACGTTTTGAGAGCTTATTGTGACTTTTTACAATTATAACCTTCATCAATATTAATTATTATTTATTATTGTTAATAACAAATAAATTTAATTATTAATAATTATTAAATAAAATAAATTATTACTATATTAATAAATATTAACTATTAATTATTTTAATTAAGCTTTATACAATATATGTTAATATTAATTATTAACAATATATTTAGTTATCAAAAAGTTAGTATAAATTTTTTAAAAATATTTATGTAAGTTACATAAAATTACTATTTTGTTTTATGGATTATAAAACTGTGTTAAATGATTCTAATATAATATTTAGTTTGATTATTAATTATATATTTTAAAAAAATATGAATTAATTAGAATATGTGATGTTGACACTTTTATGTTTATTCATATTATATATCTAATGATTATTTAAGGGTCCTATGGTTTACACCCCACCATAGTACCCCCATTATTATTTTTTTAATTTCCCAATAAAAATAGAATTTACCATCCACGTGGGAGCTTCTGACATACAGATTTAACTCTCATACACTCTTCCATCAATTTCCATATACATCCAAATACCTTCTTTTTTTTTTTTCCCTTTTTTTAAAATCAAAATCATTACATTATACAAACTGTTCACATTCGACCATATATTAAATAACATTATCATAAATTCATAATTAATAAAAATAAATAAATAAAAAACCGAACATAATTTTTTATTTTAAAGGATTAAGTTATTAAAATATTTTTTAAATTAAAAAAACATATAAATTTTTAATTTTGATTAAAGGTAAAAATTGAATGGAAAAGTACCATAGTTTAACTTGATTCATATTTTGGGTAATGAACTTTCAAAACTTTCATTTTGATAACCGAGATGTAAAGTTTGAAACATTTACGTACTTAGATAACCGAATGAAGTATTAACCGATTAACATTGTGATGTGGTATCTAACTCGATATTATTTGTCGATATGAATAAGTTAATCAAAAATTAATTTTTATGTATTGTGGTTTATTAGAAGAAAGAGTTAATGCTTCAACCGATTATCCGAGTATTTAAATGTTTAAAACTTTACATATTAGGTAACAAAATTGAAGTTTTGAAAGTATTTTATCCAAAATAAAAATCAAATTAAAGTACGTTATTTTTTCATGCAATTTGTCATTTGATTAATTAAGTATGTGAACATACTTTTAATAAAAAAAATCTTTAAAAATTGGTTATTTACATCGTTTTAACCCAAAGAAGCTTAGATTAACCGATTAGTAAAAGTTCAATGGTTTATTTATTTATTTAAAAAAAAAATCAAGGTTTTTATCATTCAAAATGAAAAAGTTTAATATTTTTTTATTTAAAAAATAGTTTAAAAACTTAATTATTTAAAACAAAAAAATTAATGGTTTTATAATTTAAAAAATTAATTTATAAACTAAACCGTTTAAAATAAAAAACAACAATGAAAGTTTTGATTAACTATTTCTTCTAATAAACCACAATACATAAAAACCTTGTATTTAACTCTTTCTTCTAATAAACCACAATACATAAAAACCTTGTATTTAACTCTTTCTTCTAATAAACCACAATACATAAAAACTAATTTTTGATTAACTTATTCACATCGACAAATAATATCGAGTTAGATACCACATCATAATGTTAACCGGTTAATACTTCATTACTTCATTCGGTTACCTAAGTACTTAAATGTTTCAAACTTTACATCTCAGTTATCAAAATGAAAGTTTCGAAAGTTCATTACCCAAAATATGAATCAACTTAAACTATATTACTTTTTCATTCAATTTTTACCCTTAATCAAAATTAGAAATTTATATGGTTTTTTTAATTTAAAAAATATTTTAATAACTTAATCCTTTAAAATAAAAAAATTAATGGTTTTATAATTTAAAAATCAATTTATAAACTAAACAACAATTTAAAAAATTAAAATAAATAAAGGGTATTATTGAAAAATGATTACAAGTTATTTTTGAATAAAAAATAAAATATAATTAATAATAATTAAGTAATTATTACTTATAGATATGAGTATTATGGTGTGATGTAAATCCTAAATAGATAGGGTGTAAATCCACCAAGCCTTATTTAAAATAATAAGTTAATAGATTCTTTCTAAAATTTGTTTAACAAATCCAAAATTATAATAATCAATTTGAATTTTTTTAGTCAACATATTATATTATTTATTTATTATCTTTTCTTGTATCAATTAACATATTATATTTTTAGAGATTTGTTTTAATTATATTATGAAACATTGTAATTGATTAATTTTTCAAAATGTCATTTTTGGTTATTTTACATGTGTATAAGCTAGTTTTTGTCAAACATTATTTGTTCATTAGCTAGCTTATCAATAATCAGCTAATTTGTCAAACATAACCTATATATACACACAATAACTTTTGGATTTGTTAAAACAAATTTTAGAAAAAATCTACATCAATTTATGATTTTAAATAACTATTATATATAATATAAATAAAAACAAAACTGATCAACTTCATATATCCTAATTAATTAATAATTTTAAATAACCATTATATAAATTGGTAAAGTCAAATATGGGTATCAGTTTAAGGCATAATTGGCGTGCGTCTCACTTAACAAAGTGATGAGTGACTTTGTCCAAAAACAAGATAGGTCTTTGATTCGATCCCCCCCTCCTTTCCACCTCGGGGGTATCCTTAGCCACTTAGTGATCTAAAAAATGTCCCCTTATACTGGTGTCCTTGGAGACGGATTCCGTATGAGACTGATTAAGGTCGTCGATAATCAACTTTTTACACAAATTTAAAGCATAATTTGTGTTATTAAAACAGTTCCTTTACATGAATTTTCATAAATTCAAACTTAAATGTATGAATTCCAAATTTTGAAATAAACCCTCATTAAAGGTTGAGATACTCAAGCATCTAATTAAGAAAAAAAAAATTAATTGCAAGGCTTTAAATGGTTTTCTTATAATTTTTTTTATGTGATATCATTAACATATAAAAACCATTATGTGCAGTATCCTTTCTAGATCATTTCTCAACTGTAAAATTACCATATTGCCCCAAACATGTCCTTTTGTTATACCATCTACAATCACACTGTTGGGGCATAATATGTCAATCTTGCAAGAAGAAAGACATCATTTGAAACGAACCTTAAAAGCCTTTCCAAACAATGATGTTGTCAGCATTCTTTTGAATGGCTTATGATTAAATTAAAGAACCAACAACGACCACGAATATTCCTTTTCATAAAAAATAACGGCTATGAATTAATTAACGATGTTTTTGGTGCAAATGGCTCCATTTTTCAAGAAAGCAAAAACAAAAGAAAAGGGTATTGGAAAGAGATACCAACCAGAGAATGGAAGAGCGTCTGATTGGTATTTCAGATTCTTTTTCATTTCTGTAACAATTTAAATCCCATTTAAATATGACGTCATAACAAGTACAGACAGAAAGAGAGCGATAAACTGAGGCTTTTATACATACCAATATACCATGTCTATTTGATCGTCAAAAATAGCATTTTATTAAAAAAGGGGTTTTAGTTGGAGAAACAATAGAACCAGAAGACATAAACCCTTGAGAGAAAACCATTCCATTTGTTCGTCCCTTTGTGTGGAGCTCTATTCCAACTTCCAAGTCACTGGCTTGTTTTCTCTCTCTACGATCCAGTTTCTCTCTCTAAAATCTTTGAGTGCCTTCTTCTTTCTTTCTGGGTTTGTCTTCAAGAAAGTTAAACAAAAATCCGAACTTGTGTCTTTTCTTGATTCTTGTTTGCTCTTTTTTCTATCATCTTTGGTTGTTTTGAAAATATTGTTTGAAAAAGAAAAGATGACAGTAGAGGAAATTAGAGGGGTTGTGGCGGGTAATAATGAAATCAATAGGTTTCCCATTGGGATGAGAGTTCTGGCTGTTGATGATGATCCAACTTGTTTGAAATTATTGGATGGGCTTCTAAGAAAATGCCAGTATCAAGGTTGGTTTTTCTTCTGTTTTTCTTTGTATGTGTTTCAAATTGACTTGGGTTTTGTATGAGCAATTAATCTTTCCTTGATTTGCTTGTCCAAATTGTTTTTTTTAGTTCTAGATTCTACAATTCAAGATTAGGGTTTTAGTTCTGTGAACATATGGAAACTGTTTTACAGTGATACAGTTCACTGTTGTAAATTGTAATGTGTACTTGCGGTCAAGAATGTTCATACATGGATGTTGACTCAATTATGTGCTTTAGATTGTTGTTTTGCGGATTACCCAATTATGGTTTTGACCTTTTCTTCTAGGGTTTCAATTCTTTGACCTTGTGAATTGTGATTGTGAATAGAAAAAAGGTTTAAACGTCATGTTTATGTGTTCATAATAAATGCCTTTTTTTTCACAGTTACAACCACAAATCAAGCAATAACAGCACTGAAGATGTTGAAGGAAAATAGAAACAGGTTTGATTTGGTCATCAGTGATGTATATATGCCAGATATGGATGGTTTCAAGCTTCTTGAACTAGTTGGCCTCGAAATGGACTTACCTGTCATCAGTAAGCCCCATTTCTCTAATAGTAGCAGAATTTTCAGATTTGTTTTTCTATAAATTGATAAAGTAAGCCCAAATGCTCAGATTGTACCTCATTTTTGGTCAATAGGATTTGTTTTTGTAGAAATTGATAAAGTTTCTTGAAATGGTATCAGTGCTATCAGGAAACAGTGATCCGAAGCTTGTAATGAAGGGGATCACTCATGGTGCTTGTGATTATCTTGTGAAGCCAGTTCGCCTTGAGGAACTTCGCAATATATGGCAGCATGTGATCAGGCGAAAGGTGGAGTCAAAACCGCAGTCAAAGTCAAACAACAACCATGAAAAGTCAAATCAAGGGAACGAAGGTGGAGATCAGAATGTGAAGCTGAATAGAAAAAGAAAAGATGAAGACGAAGATGTTGAAGAAAATGGACATGAAAGTGATGATGATCCATCATCACAGAAGAAGCCTCGTGTAGTTTGGTCCATTGATCTTCATAGAAAATTTGTTGCTGCTGTTAATCAACTGGGCGATGAGAGTAAGTCCTTTTTTGTAATTCAACATCTGATTTCATGTCTAAGATTGACTAACGCTCGTTTATCCTTCTAAATGATGCAGAAGCTGTGCCTAGAAGGATTCTTGATTTGATGAATGTTGATGGGCTTACAAGGGAAAATGTAGCAAGCCATCTCCAGGTACCAAGATCTTTTCTTGAAAATGCAATTTTTGGCAATCAAATGGGAAATAGTGCCTATTCAATGGAGAAAAGGTGCATCTTTTGGCTATTAAAGGAGAAAAAGTTCATTCTTGATGGTTAAATTGTGGCAATTTATGGAAAAAGGTCTGATTTTTGCTATTAGATGTTAGTAAGTCTGGTGGGAAGCAATCAAATTATGCTCATTTGATATCTGTATGTAGAAATATAGGCTTTACATAAAGAGGATCAGCCATCAAGCTAACATGGTGGCGGCATTTGGGGGGAGTAAAGATGCGTCTTCTTATATGCGAATGAGCCCTCTTGAGGGACTAGGAGATTTTCGGATATTATCAAGTTCAGGAAGACTGTCGAATGCTGCATATGCGCCATCTGGCATTCTCGGTAGACTAAACAGTGCGACTGGTGTGACCCTTCATAGCCTTATGGCTCCACCATTGGTCCAGCCAAACCATACACAAAACAAGTTACAACCAGTTAATCATCAAAACATGAATCTTTTTCAGGAGATTCCATCATCTTTTGATCAATGTAGTAATAAACCGAATACCCAACTCACAGATTTTAGTTCCATTGAAGAATCTCGAATCTTTACAGGTACCAAACTGATGGATTTTGTTCCATTGGTGAATCATGAATCTTTACAAGTTCTGTTGATGAATCTCGAGTCTTTACAGGTAACAAGTTGGTTGATTTCAACTCCATTGATGAATCTCGGATGTTTACAGGTATCCAACTCACAAGATTTCAATTCCATAATGAATATTAGAAAAGTTATGGGTACCCAAAAAGGGGAATTTCCTTTTCATTAATTAATCCTGAATCTTAACAGGTTCTAATCCCTTGATGGATCCTAGTGTCGGGCTGGGGAGTAAGTCTTTGAAGCTGTCTTCCACAGGCTCAGAATCTTTTAATCTCCTTTCAAGTAGTTCTAACTTTCTTGACCAGAATGGTAATCAACCACCAAACTTTTCTTCAAATCAACTGCCAGTTGGCGGAAACTATGGTTATTCTGCCACCGTTAAAGGCGGGATTTGTTCTAACATCACCACTACAGACACTATACCTCTTGAAGCTCATGGTGGTGGTTTGGTTGATGAGATTGTACAGAATGTTAACAACCAGTCTTTATCAAACCAGAAAAACGGACAGTATAGTAAACAAGATTATAGCCAATACTCGCAGAATGCTTTTAGCACCCTAGCTTCTTTGGCTCTAGCAAGTGGTGGTGGTGGTGGTTTGAGTGGTCCGCTGAGCCATGGTGGATTAAATGGCGGTACTTCGGCTCTTTTCAAGACTGAGATGCCTAGTTTGGAGATGAAAATGCGTTCCAGTGAAGATGGTCTTGTTGTAAACAATGGTTATGGTTCATTGGACGGCCTTATGACTGGAATGATGAAAAGGGTACGATCTTTTCCTCTTTGTATTTATGTTTGTGTTAAGAATCTCGAGTCCCACTCTATATTTAGTAGCAATCAACATGCTACTTTGATTTTGTATCAAGATTGGACATTCACTAGTGAATCAATCTTTTCCCATCGCAAATGGGGTTGCTTTAAAAATCAAGCATTCAATCGGAAGAACCGATGCCAACAATAACTCACTGATTGAGTGGTTCAACTTGTTACCGAGTCAACTCAGTCGCGATGGAAGCGGTTCAAACCGAGTCGAACTTGGTCTTAGTTAAGCTTGCTTGCATCTTTTTGTGCACCTCTTCATTTTTAATGGATTTTTAGCATTTTATTTTGGTGGGGTTTTGCAATGCAAATGCAGGAGCAGGAAGCGAGGATGATAGTGGATGGAGAATTCGGTTACGATTCTTATGCTTTCGGGCCATGTGCATGATAAAAGAGCCTGCAACTACACCTACTTAGGTTTCTCAAAAGAGGCATTTGTATTTATATGTAATTTTATTTTTATTTTTATTTTACCCTCCATTTTACTTGGATTTGATCTGGTTTTTCATTAAGATGATTTTAATTTACCTTTGATATGTTATCGTAATGCCTATTTTACTTGCCGTTTATGATCGTAGTGCAATGTTTTTTAAAGTCGAAGATGTAACTCATGAGACGGGATAATATCAGAATAATTGCAAAAGTTGACGTGATATTGTAATACAAAACAGGGGAGAACCATATGAGGTACAACTTGAGCCTATTTGGCTGCTCTATTGAGTTAACACAATTACCATAATGACCGTATTCGTACAACATTTATGAAGAAAAGAAAAGACTATATAATATACTAACATTTAATCTAGTTGCCAACCTAGTTGGCGAGCTCGGCGCTCCCATAATGAAGTTATCTTTCTTTCTTGTCTCATCAAAGCCTCAGCTTGCTCTCTTGCCTGTTCGCATGTTTCTGTAGCAGTGTTGCATTTTTCGGCCTCCTTTTGATATTGAGAAGCTACCCTCCTTGCTTCCCCAAACGTAATGTTCATATGGTGTATGTGTTCTTCACCGACTGTTTTCTGCAGTTTAAGCTCTTCTGACAGTAAATCCACAAACTGCTTCTCCATCTCTTCCTTAACATCTGGATCATCCTTCCCACAATCTGCAACAAACAGAATCAGTTCTTTTCTTTTCTTTCATTTATATGCAAGACTCCAAATATGATTGCAAAAACTTGGGTGCATTTAGAAATGAATAAACTCAAGTGTAGCTGTAGAGAAAGCTCTCACCTGTGATGGAAAGATTGACCAAGCCTGCAATGAAATGGACAAGATACAACCTTTTTAGTATAATTCGATCCTATGCAAGTATACAAAATTCAAACTGACAGAAAGGCATCACAAGGATGGATAAGTTAATGTTTTATACAGCAATCAAAGGATAAAATGATACAACACGAATAGTGCAGAGGAAAGAAAGTTACTCACTAATAACTACCACATACTGAAGTTATATCTTTCAAGTGTTGAGATGCTCAACTAGTAGGATCATCTACGCAATCTAAACCTACGCTACACAAAAATAGATTCACAATGCATAATGACAGCATGACGTAACTATATTTGCACCCCAACGAGCATCAATTCTCTAGAAAGCGGACCATTTATTGACCCAGAAAAGTTAGCAGTCTAACAGATCATCGGGTCAACCCTGGTTGGACAGCTATTGATTCATGATGTCAACATACGTAAAAAAAAAAAAAAAAAACTAACTTTGTACGATAATAATGAGATATATATATATATATATATATATATATATATATATATATATATATCCATTTAAATACTTGAACATCATAATTTGGAAAGATCCTACAAGATTAGCGAAAAAAGTTGCATAAATAATTTTCAAATTCCAACATAACAAGCATAAGAATCAATCAGAAAGCCAACCAATTGGGTATTGGAGTTCTACTCAGACTAGTTTCTTATCGTACAAAAAGCCAAACCAATTCAACCCCAAAGATGAGGTTGGATTATTAACCATTAATTTATGTATACAAAGGGAGCATATGGTACTTCCTAAGCAATCTTATGTCCATTTCCTCTGTCCAATGAGAAGGAAAAAAAGTAAATGCAGAAGAACCCGATTTCACAAATGGGCGATCTTTATTGCTTACATCATGTGACTTAATTTCTACAAGAAACCCTCAACATTGCATTTTGTTGGCAATACAAATGCACCAATGGATGTGCATTCCCAACAAATTTTGTGATGTCTGAATACCAAACTCCATAATAGAGTGGCAATTTTCCTATTCTAGTTTTGTACCAATTAGTAAATCAGACTCCCCTTTTTCTTTGTCTGTTCACTCATCAAGAAAAATGGCTATCTTATAGCACCAAGAATCAGATCTTTTCCACATATCAAACTCCAAATAACAAACACAAAATGAATTAGGTATACTCTAATTCCGCACGAAGTCAAAAACTTCACAGAAATCTCAGATCTAATACGATCTAATCAATGAGAAAAATAAAATTCAATCAAGAGTGAGGAATGCATAGAAATAACAAAAAGCAGAAATAGGGTTTTGATTTTATTAGCATTTACGACGATGAAAAAGATGAAATGGGTACCATCAGGTCCATTGACAAAGATAAAAAGAAAAGCCCCAAATCAAATAAGGTGTAATCAATGTCAAAATGGTAATAATCAGATCGAAAATAAGTGAAAGGGGTTTGATTACCAGGAGCAAGCTTGAGAAGGGATAGAGGAGGAGGGCAATCACAGATGCATGGAGTACAAGAAATTGAAGAACTGGGTTTGAAATTAAAACCCCTTTTAAGCTTCCAATAAAGAGCTGGCCCAGATACACACAATGCTGAAATGACAGCCAAAATTACCAAACAACATCTGAAACAAGACCCAGATCTCCTTGTCATCTCTCTCTAAAGATCTACCTCCCACTCGATTCGGCTATCGCTTTGTATTTGAGATCTCATGGAGTAATAACACTTTGGATTAGAATCCACCGTGTGAAGGCCTCTATTTAGGAAGAAGAAAGGAGGGTTTACATTTGTCGACAAGCGTAAAACGCCATTCCCACTTTCTTTTTTCTTTTTTTATTTTGTTTCAACATATTTTTATATTATCTATACTTTATTAAATAGCATTTGACAAAAACTCTTCAAAACTATTTTTAATACATGAAGTATTGTATATTGATTCATATTACTTAAAATTCAAGATTATAAGTAAATTATGCATAAGTATAACTTATTAAAGCTTCATATTTGAATTCGTGTAACTAACTGCAGATAAACATAATCAAATAGAGGATAAACATTTCATTTTAAATATAAAAAACCTAAAATATAATTAGAATAATCATTGATTTCTAACAAAATACTTAATTATTATATTTACAAAAAATTATATTATTAAACCAAAAATAAATAAATAATGAATTAAAGAAATGCACAGAAAAAAAAATTTAAAATAATTAGTTTGGTACCAATATCAATAATTTTTTTTCAATTTTTATGATATATCTTCATATTTATATTTTATTCAAAAATAAAACCATTATCGTTTTCTGAAAACTATATAAAACTATACCGATTCTAATCGCCGCTCCCTCACGTCTCAATCCAGTCGCTACACGGCTGTCTCCATCGCCCTCAGCCCACCACGTCGCCGGCTGTGTGGCTCAATTTCTCAATGGCTATGCGGTTTGATTTCTCAGTGGCAGTGGCAATTGGAGACCTGTCGATAGGCCGAAAGGGTCTATCTCCCACCAGTTTCAAGAATGACCAGCCGTGTTTTTGCTCTAGAAAGGAGACCGCTTCATCTTATTTGGTTGCTTCAAATTATCAAGATTCGTCTCTTTAGGGAAACAACAATCGATTGAGTCAAACAGGAATCCAAACGGTTTAAACTTCATATACGAGTCGATGTTCTTGCTAAACGACTACCCAACTTCACAACCATTCGATACCATGATTTTTCAGACAACCACCAAGAAGTCAATTGCTGGCTATTTACAGTACCTGTGATTTTGCCGCTAGTCCTTTGAAACCCATTCCTTGGTTGATGGGAAAAAACTTAACTATGACGTCAAGACCAATGAAAATGTAACCTCATCATCACAACAATTTAGACCTTCCATGAATCAACACGTTCGTATTGATCAAACGAAGACCATATTTCTTCTTCCATGGCCATAATTATAATGGAGTCAATTCTCAAACTTCACATGGCAGAAATATGTTTCATGTTGCATCTAGCACGAATCCCATTAAAGAAATCATCATCATTGATGATTCCCCTGCCCTTGAAAATAAAGTTGATGATTCTATGTGAAATGATTTCTCGGCCCCTAAATTATGGAAACAAGAATAACAACAATTTCTCAGCCCCTAAATTGAACCATACAGTCGCTGAGAAATCATGCCCCACAACCAGCGACGACGACATGGTTGGGCTGAGGGTGGTGGATGACGACGGGGGTGTAGTGACGAGATTAAATGTAGGGGAGGGTGGGCGAGCATCATGGGGGAGTGGCTTTTAGAATCAATGTAGTTCTTAGTTTTGTCTACTATGTAGGTTGCATGTTACATTTTTAGCCAATAAAGATGTATTTAACAGGTTTCCAAAATTCCAATGATTTGTTTAACATGTTTTGAAATGTCCAATAACTTATTTATTCCAAAAAGTTGTCCAATGATTTAATCACTACAAACACTAAAGTCCATTGGATTTTATTATACTTTTTTCGTTTTAAAAACTTAATACGACATTAGGTAAATGATTTTTTTAGTCATTCCCACAATAAAATTGATTTACTATTATTTTATATAAATTTTTAAAAAAATTATATTAAAATACAAGATATTTTAATAAACATAATTACAATTACAATCTCTAAAATAAAAAACATATTAAAATTAAACATAAATTATTTTAAAGATTTTAACCTTATGTTTCTCTTCTTGAAAGTATAATCATAAAAATTCTCTTATTCATCAAATATTTGTGCCACAATATGAGTGACCATGTTTAATTTGTTAATTATTTTAGATTTTCGGTTATAATATTCGTTAAAACTAATGTGTTACTTCTCCAAGATATGTTGTGCTTTTATGTTCAACAACTCATCACTACTTTAACTCCAAGGGTAATGCCTGATTGGTTTGTACTTAGCTCCAAAGATCCAAAGTACCAAGAGGTCCCAGTTCAAATCCAAGAAGGAATAAAAATCCCCTTGTGGCCACGGAGGTTCAAATGCGGTGACTCCGGGTTATCTGCAAAGCAGGTGGTCGTCCTGGGATTAGTTGGCTCGCATAACGGGTTGGATCTCCAGGTTAATAAAAAAAAAATAATCACTACTTTTAATGTCATGTTTTTAGGTTAAACCGGTAATCATCAAATTTGAAATATCGTCCTTCTCGACGCATTTCTTTACATATCGTTCACTTAACTTCCTTACATATCATACTTTTTAGGGGCCGTTTACCTAAACACTTACCCAGTAAGTACTTACTGGTAAAATTCAACATTTTCGTTTACTTATCGGGTAAGATTTTATTCACTAAAACGCATCGTATGCAACAATTTATCCCGGTAAGCGCTAACTATGCTAGGACTCATCGTCCTCACTTATCGGGTAAGACTCTCGATTCTTGCTTTCGCTCTTACCGGGTAAGATTTTTAGTCTTTGTCATATTCATTCGGTAAAGTAAAGTGACTTGGTAAGCCCTTACCCGGTAAGCGTTTGGTAAACGACACCTTACTGTCAAGTCATAAAATGAACCTTTATATTATTTTTTGGGTAACCTTTGGGTATCTGGATCAGATCCCTGACTAATATCTTGGACGAGTACAAATGACCTAGACTCCTGGAATCATCACAAATAAACCTCCATAATTAATTTTTTTAATCATTTTCTACCTTTTTTTTTTCTTAGAGCTACTTGATTTGCTAATTCGATGCATCCCATGCCACTAATTATACTAGACCATCAAATAACCACAACGTCTTATAAATGATATATCCTCACATTATATCAAGATATTACTTCACTAACCACAAGTATTGTAGCATCCTGATTTAAGAGATTAGATGTTTTACGGTACGTAAATAAATAAGTTAGCATGTAATACAATATAAGCAAATGTTATTTTGGGAAATGATAAATATTTGAGAAGTAAATGAATGATCATACCCCTTGATGCGATCAAGATCGGCTTTGACTGGTCAGTAATTACGGCTTTGACTTGTCAAAAATTACAGTGATGCAAAATATATAGTGAGGGTAATTTCATAATTTTTGTAAATAGGTAACAAATAGGTTCATATATGAATCTATGTGATTCACATATAAATTACATGCTCATATGTGAACTCGTGTAATTCACATATGAGTTATTTTGACTGATTCACATATAAACTAATTAACTGATTCATATATGAACCATTGTGATTCACATGTGGGCTAACTAACAGGTTCACATATGAACATACACTTCATATGTGTATCACATGGGTTCACATGTGAATTCATTTGTCGCCTATACGTAAAAAGTCACGAAACTATCCTACTATCTTCAATAATACCCATGCGAGTAACATCCGGTGCTTTACGGTCAACGCTGCAAATGTTGACCAAATGAAGGGGTAGGATTAATTCTTTACTTCTCGTATATCTACTACTTCTCAAATGAACCTTTCCCTTATAATATATTATTCATTTGTAACATAATTTTCTTTAAATGATAAAAAGATTAATATAATCCTAATCTAACAGAAACGTTAACATCTAGGAGGGCTAGGTACCATCCGTGACATTAATTTTAAGTAATTTATTGAATACGAGATTTTCAGTGTCCTCTGCTCGACCTTTTTATATTCTTTAGTAACAACATAAACGATGTTCCTTGGGCTTATGATGCGGTGAGTGTCAACCCCTAGGACCGGTCCTTCTTCTATATGCAATTTAATATCTTGTTAACTTGATCCATAATTTAGTTTCATGAAGTAACGTACATCTTGCTCTTTGTTTGCTGGATTTAAATGTTGTCAAGTAGCAGCATATATATGGCAGTAGTGGTCATCCATAACATGCATTAATTGCTTGGTGATGTAGTGACTGCTTATGAGTCATATATATATATATATATATATATATATATATATATATAAATAATGAAAACCACCCTCATTTGTACAAACCGTATAAACCATCTTCATATATCGATTTCATTGTTTAATCTTATAAATTTTTTCATGAAATTGTTTAATCTTGTGAAATTGTTTCATACAATAATTTTCTTGATGAATTTGTTTCATATATGGTTATGAAATTGTTTCATATAATATTTAATAAAATTTTAATGAAACTGTTTTATGTATTTCTCTAAAATAAAAATAATGAAGATGATAATATTCATGATTAACACCCTCCACAATAAAAATGGTTAATCAACCTCTTATAATTAGAAAAAAAATGAACAAAATGAAAAATTATGATTGGTTGAATGAGTTTTGCACAATTTGTACAAATTGAGTGATTTTTATTTGAACGTTTCTCTCTCTCTCTATCTATATATATTGTACATACCATATTTCGTTTACACCCATTGATTTCATTGGTCATAAATATAAAACTTTTATACGTATCTTGTTGGCAAACAAACAGAAAAATACTTGAATTAGGATATGATATTGTGATTTATTGATCCATCATGACCATCACATGTAATATTAAATCCTATATACAAACGACTTTTGATACGATCTAAGTCGCAAGGCACAACATCCATACAACACCAAGTCCTCTCAAATGTATTATCACATGTGATAAAGATGTTCTCATGTTCTTGTAAAATATATGTTTTTTTGTTTAAAACTCCACCTATATATATATATATATATATATATATATATATATATATATATATATGAATGAAAGATATGCATGTTATGTATATATAACAAGCAGAAAAGGACGTTAAAAAATGAGCCATTTTTGTCACATGTACTACAACATGTCGACTATTAACTTCCATACAAATAATTAACTCAGAACACGACTCCCACCCCACTCCCTTACAACCTTATTCTTAAACTTAAACCCCACACGCTACGTTCCAAATCACCATATATGTTTACACCTTCCGAGTTTATGAATCTAACACCCTCCACTCCACATTTTCAGTTCAGATTGATTTCATTCCAATATTTATGTAGCAAAAACATACAGAATCAAACATACAAACACTAGCTCAGCTCCACCAATCCAACAATACATACATACATATATACATATACATACATACATACATACATATACATATATATATATTGCTATTTGCCGAAAATGGATTTCAACCACCAGATTCCTTTGTTGTCGGCAGGTGCATCTTCAGTCTCCGGCGGGGTGTCTGCATGTGTTGTCTTCTTCAGTTTGCTCACATCATACCCTACTTCCTTGGCCTTTTGAACTAGCTGCTCGTATATCTCCTCGTCAAGATGGTTTTGCCTGCTCAGTATCTACACTTGCAAAAAGAAAAGGAAAGACCTTCATATTATCATATATATATATATAAAATTAAAATGAAAACATATATATACATACCCATAGAGAGTTTCTGGAAGGCTGACCAATGAGAGCATACTGATAATCATCATCAAGATACAAAACCCAATAATCACCAGTAACAGGTATGATGGGTAGAAAGGGTGGCACATAGAATTTGACCTTCAATTTGGCCTCATCACTCTTGGGGTCAGCCTTGTAAGCCGTGCCTTCAATGAACCCTCTCTTTCCATCACTCCAAGTCTCGTTCAAAACATGAACAGTGCCATCTGAGTTCAATGTGTAAGTAGCCCTGGTGTTGGTGCCGTTTTTAGGCTGATCTCGTGATGGGATTGAAGCTATTTCGTACCATCTGCCCATGTATCTCTCAAGATCCACACCCTTTGCGACTTCCATCTCTTAATTAAGTATTCAATTCGTCCTTAAGGTTGAACTGAGTGTAGAATATTTATATGAATATATGTTGGGTTTACATAATTGAGAGAGGGTGTGGATAAGGATGATGGTGGAAAATTAACAACCACACAGGTACAGGTAGTCTGCGTCTCAAACTTCTGAAAATTACACAGCCCATCATTCATGTTTCTATTTCATGACCAAAATCATCCTTCGTCTTATCGTCCGTTACCATGTGTTGTTAAGTGTGAGGCATTTTGGTTAGGAAAAAGTTCCCAAAAACTCACCAAAGTTTTTAGTTTGGATGATTAGATCCGTGATTTTTTTTTAATGAAAGAACCGTTAAACTTTTTCATATTGAATTATTAAGTCCCTAATTGTTTCTTTGGATAAATAAAGTAATAAACTGTTAAAAATTGGTTACATACATCATTAATTTTAGGAAAATTTATAAAAATAACCGGTTTACACAACCCTTTGCCACAAAATAACCACATTTTAGAGGTTTTACACGGAATGACCAAGGGCGATCCGTACACTATGGGGGCGATCCCCCCCTTAAGTCTTAAAAAAAATTCCCTCAAAAGTCGAGATTACTGTTCATCCTCGTTGACCGTGTTTGACCTCGCCCCTGGGAGATCCGTACTGTATGGGGGGCGATCCGGGTAAAAAAAATGATTTTTTTCTAATACCAATTTCACTATAAATACCAACCTGTTACTTCATAATTTTTCACACATTCCCTTCCATTTCTCTTCTCATATATTTTACTCTCACAACCCTTAACCCATTAAACACAATAAACCATCACAACCTTTAACCCACTAAACACAATCAACCATCACAAAACATGAAATCACGTCAAAGTGATAATGTTTGTGTGTATCTTCGAAGTGACGGTTTATTCCAAGATATAAATGGTGTCTTAGAGTACCTTCCTATAACCTCCCCCACATGTGCAATATGTTTGTCTTCGCCAATGACGTATTCTGGGGTCGTCAAACGTGTGACGAAAAAGTTAAGTTTACGTGGTCCTTTCAATTTATTTTTTAAAACGAATACGTTATATCAGTTTATGGACGACGATGATGTGGTAATCCTCCACAACGCCATTCGTCAAAMTTTACCAGAAATGTTGACACTATATGTTGTCGACAATAGAGGTTATAAAGGAAATCCATCAAATGCAAACCCGGGAGGTCCAAACACTTTTTACACCGGTGCTGTGAGCACACTCTTCCCTGACGTTAGCGTTGCAAACCCATATGGTCCAAGCACACTCTTCCCTACCGGTTGTGCTCCTGGTCTAAATACCAAAAAATTAAAAAAAAATACAACTTCAATCATCCGGTATTTTTATAACGAAAAACCGTGAAATTTAAAATTAAATACGTAAAAAGACACATTTTATGTATTTTTTCATTTTTATTAAAAACACCCCTTAATTGTTTAATAAAAAACACAAAATGACAAAATAGAGGTCAAATTTCGTCAATCAGATATTATATCTGATTTACGAAACCCAAAACAGATAAAAATAATTTTTGCTTCTCCATAATTATAAAGGTTTATTTTTAAACCTTTACCCATGAAATTTGGTTCTAAAAAAGTTAAAAAATACAACTTCAATAGCGTATCAGTTTTATTAAAAATACAAAAAAAAAAAAAAAAAATAGCAGGATCGCTCCCGGGGAGGGCGATCGGACAGTACGGATCGCCCCGGGGACGAGGTCAAACACGGTCAACGAAGATGAACAGTAATCTCGATTTTTGAGGGTAATTTTTTTTAAGACTTAAGGGGAGATCGCCCCCATAGTGTACGGATCGCCCCCGGGGGCGATCCGTGTGGTCTTTCCGGTAAAACCTCTAAAATGTGGTTATTTTGTGGCAAAGGGTTGTGTAAACCGGTTATTTTTATAAATTTCCTTTAATTTTAACCTAAAAAAAATAACTGAAACCGACTACTACTGAGGTTTTAAAGTAAAAGGAAAACCTAAATCAATTTATCATGATTGAACTGTCTCTGCTTTTTATCACCGTCCATCATTGACGTTGGCCCCTACTATCAATTTCCCTCTTTTTGGTTATTTTTTTGCTTTTCGATTCTCCATATCTTTTTGATATTCGTAAACGTGCTTCATTAATTGTTGTAAAAGATGGAGAATAGAAAGACAAAAAAAGGAGTACGGAAAACAATAGAACAAGGGAGCAAGCCATCGTGTGCGAGGGGTTTAAATCACTACCAAACAGGTAAACATTTCCGGCGGCGCTATCTGCCGGTGATTATTTTTTCAGCGGATTACGGCCGCTGGAAAATTTCCCCCGGTTTATTTAAAAAATATTGATTAAATTAACAAAATATTTAAGTTTTAAAAAAAAATGAACTAAATTACCGGCGCTGGTAAATTTATCCACCAAAAAATTAATTTTATTTTTAAAATAATTATTTTTATTCCTTAAACATTACCGGCAGATATATCCGTCTGAAATCCGCTGGAAATTTATAAAATTATTAATTTTAAAATATTTTTCCAATAAATAATTAAAACCTGTAAATCTGTAAATATTAAAAAAAATAAAAAGATGAAATGCCGATAAATATCATACATTAAACTAAACAACATGTTTTTTGAAGTATATAATATTTATATACGACAAATGCAACAAATAAACTCACATACCCTCCTCACATATGGTGAGGTTTGAACCATTGACCTCCTAGAAGGCCAAGGGCTACGATACCGCTAGGCCAAAGGCCCTTTGGTAACTAAACAACAATTTTGCCGACCAATTTAAAGTAGCACGCAGTTGTTCCAAACAAAAACTAAATTGTTCCAAACGAACAGACAATATTCAATACGATGGTGAGGGAAATGCTCAGATTGACGAGTTGTCTGACCAAAACAGTCATATCTTCAAGTTGTTTATCCTGTCACTCCTCCTTCTCTCGCCGTCGTTTTTTTTCTTCATGTAAATCTCTAAGTTCGTTTCTTAAGGCTTCAATTTCTTATAAAATAAAGAAAACGATATAATATTTAATATGAATTATAAACTAAATCGATAAACATCATCAAAGAAAAAGAGGCACATACCCGACTCTCTGAAGAGGATGGACCACCTTGTGTGTAGTTCCCAGTCAAGACCAATTGGGATCCTGGTTGTACCCAAACCCAAATAGACGGTCTTTTTTGCTTCCCCCAAGCGTCTGCTCCCACAACTTTGTATCAACTAAAGGATAGGTGGAGGGATCATTATCGTATCTTTGGGCGAGACCCGTTAAATAGTCATCCTATATATGGTTTAAAAAGATTACAAGTCAATTTTGACAACATGATGACTATAAATGAGGCGTTTCCATACAAAATAATAGTGATACATACGAAATTTGTAGCTAAAACAAGATTAATAATAAGTTAACACAAATCATGAGTTTTTATGATTTTGTAACTCCCAATTAATATTATAGGAGTTACATAAAATTAAATAAAAACTACATATGTATCTTTGTCATTAAATTCTAAAATGGATAGGAACCTAATACTAAGATGAATTGTGATTGACTGAAAATGGTTAACAAAGTTAACATAATAGTTTGGTTTAATATTTGAACCAAACGCTCTCTTTCTCTCTCATATATATATATATATATATATATATATATA